CATTTTCCCTCTCATTGTGTGCCATAACAGCCCGTGTGATGAATTTGGGACACTTTTTCACTATATCATGAATATATGAATAGGTAAAGACATGTAAGTCACGTGTACCTGTATATTTGCATTCCTCTGTGCATCGATACTGACGTGTAGATGGTGGGGATATTCTTTTTTCTGTCTGCAGCTGTCGCTTCCTCTGCAGAATTTGTCTGATGGATCAAAGGCACTCGGCGCGGCTCGGTGCAAAAACTCAACAATGCGATCGGTGTGCATACAGCACAGATCGTCCTGACCATTTGACACGGCACCAGAGAACTCACTCGGGAGAGAAACCCTTCAAGTGCAGTGTGTGTGGGAAGGCGTTTGCACATTCATCTACTCTTGTAAAACACCAGAGAACACACACGGGAGAGAAACCCTTCAAGTGCAGTGTGTGTGGGAAGGCGTTTGCAAGTTCATCTGCTCTTGTAAAACACCAGAGAACACACACGGGAGATAAACCCTTCAAGTGCAATGTGTGTGGGAAGGCGTTTGCACAGTTAACGCATCTTCATGTACACCAGAGAACACACACAGGAGAGAAACCCTTCAAGTGCAGTGTGTGTGGGAAGGCGTTTGCACATTCATCTGTTCTTGTAACACACCAGAGCACTCACACAGGAGAGAAACCCTTCAAGTGCAGTGTGTGTGGGATGGCATTTTCAAATTCATCTGCTCTTGTCAAACACCAGAGAACACACACGGGAGAGAAAGCCTTTAAGTGCAGTGTGTGTGGGAAGGCGTTTTCAGATTCATCTGCTCTTGTAATACACCAGAGAACACACACGGGAGATAAACCCTTCAAGTGCAGTGTGTGTGGGAAGGCGTTTGCACGTTCAAATACTCTTGTAACACACCAGAGGACTCACACAGGAGAGAAACCCTTCAAGTGCAGTGTGTGTGGGAAGGCGCTTGCACATTCATCTGGTCTTGTAAAACACCAGAGAACACACACGGGAGAGAAAGCCTTTAAGTGCAGTGTGTGTGGGACGGCGTTTTCAGATTCATCTGCTCTTGTAAAACACCAGAGAACACACACGGGAGATAAACCCTTCAAGTGCAGTGTGTGTGGGAAGGCGTTTGCACGTTCAACTACTCTTGTAACACACCAGAGGACTCACACAGGAGAGAAACCCTTCAAGTGCAGTGTGTGTGGGAAGGCGCTTGCACATTCATCTGGTCTTGTAAAACACCAGAGAACACACACGGGAGATAAACCCTTCAAGTGCAATGTGTGTGGGAAGGCGTTTGCACAATCATCTACTCTTGTAATACACCAGAGAACTCACACAGGAGAGAAACCCTTCAAGTGCAGTGTGTGTGGGAAGGCGTTTGCACGTTCAACTACTCTTGTAACACACCAGAGCACTCACACAGGAGAGAAACCCTTCAAGGACAGTGTGTGTGGGAAGGCGCTTGCACATTCATCTGGTCTTGTAAAACACCAGAGAACACACACGGGAGATAAACCCTTCAAGTGCAATGTGTGTGGGAAGGCGTTTGCACAATCATCTACTCTTCTAACACACCATAGAACTCACATAGGAGAGAAACCCTTCAAGTGCAGTGTGTGTGGGAAGGCGTTTGCAGTTTCATCAAATCTTCAAAGACACCAGAGAACACACAAGCATCGGAAGATCCACAAGGAGTGGAGTCTGAAATCAGCTTGTGAAAGTCAAAGTGCCGCAATGAGCCCATCCCTCATGAAACAAGAACTGGAAGAAAATCCCAGCTTGGACACTTTTAAAGGTATCGAGGTGAAATATGAAGAGGTGATGGTGAAATGTGAAGAAGTGATGGTGAAGAGTGAAAAAGTGAGGGTAAAATGTGAAGATGAAGATTCAACTCCAAAACCGGACCTTCGCATCGATGGAGGCAACGTGAAGCAGGAGGAGAGTTCTGACTGTGAGGCAGAGCGAGGCAACTCCCAGCAGTTTGTGGAAGTGGAGGTGTGGGTGGACTTTTTCCAAAACAATACAAAGTCAAATGGAGAACCGTTAGATGTGTAAGCTTGAGACGATGTCGCTCCAATAGATGCACCTTTGTCACAGGCCTTTAATGACAAGAATGTGAAGTTGAACGCTCAATTCCTAGGTGCAACCTGCAGGGTAAGAGCGGCCAGTCTTTGTGGACCTGTGGGTGGGGTAGATCTCTAACTAGGAGCGAGAGCCAATAATCTCCTAAGCATTCACTAGGTTCTAATAATTCCATTTATATCGTGCTTGCTTAATCGACGCTGGCAATTCGGAGTTTTGTGTCGTATCTCGTTTCAAACACTCGAAGAGCACCCCCAAGTAGCAGCTGCTCCTGTGTGGCACAAGGTGGTGGCCCTGCACTAGCCTGCATGTGGACAAGAGCCTGTCAGTAGGGGGCGATGGTTGATGTGGCGTCTTATTTGTGGAGTTTGTAGGTAATGTTTAGAATTTGATACATTTTGACCCAGACGCCAGCATGCAATGTCCTACTCGTTTTGAATGGCGCAAGAGTATGTTGTACATACACTGTTAAGCAGACGGTGCGTATTTTTAAAAATACGATGTAACCTGATGCAGCATATTTCAGTGCAGTAATACAATTTTGTTAAAATTACTCAATAATTTAGAATGAATACTTGTCTGATTTTGTCTATAAGGGTCAAACATTGAATAAGTGATGTTAGGACAAAGTGTGTGTTTTGGAAGTAACCTGTACAGGTAACTCGGGTGAGACTCACTGTTCTTGTGATACAGGGCAAAGGAAATGGTCCTTGCTTATTAACGTCTGGATGTCCATAACTATCGGTTGAAGCATCCCGGCTGCTCTTGAGACGCTGTACACCAATAAGGGTCCACAGGTGGCTTGCACTGACTCAATAATGCACTCCCATAAGGCTGTGCTAGTTATAGTTTGTGTAAAACATTCCTTTGTTTTGTGGAGAGATTGATAAATGAAAGATGTCGTGTCTGCTGATCTGCGTCATACCAAGGAAGTAATTTAAGAGACTACATTTGAAATGCATTTTTGGTACAGATTTGTATTCGGTTACAAGGCAGCGCACATGTAGTAGATACATTCTCCACAACAACACTCATGAGAATTTTGCATGACGTCTTATATGTTGGTGAACTAGGACAAGAAATGGTCCTTCCTGATTAACGTCTGGATGTTCACAACCAAGGGTTGAAGCAAGCCTGACCGCCTGCGGTGCCCCTCAACCATTTACAGCCTAGGGCCAGGAAAGTCACGAAAAAAATTGCACACGAACGACGCCTCCACGCAAGCTCCCGATGCTCTGTTTTGAAGTTTTAAAATGAAACAGTTTTAATTTGATTGTTTTGAATTTGATAATTGTATTTCTTCATTAAAAGCTTCTCATTTTACATCTGGAAGACTTATTTGAAAACGACATTTGGTATGAATTTTCTGTCGTGGTTAAGTAGATGGCCTTGCTGGGAGTTCGGTTCGATGCGGACTTTCACCTGGTTGGGATCGCGGGCTCGAGATGAGGCGACACAGAGCTGGCCGTGCGAGAAGACCGCCGTCTGCAGATCGATTTCAACGCGATCGAACGTCTGTCCCTGCGCCTCCGTCGTTCATGCAGGGAGCGTGTAGGTTTGCAGTGCCCCTTGCATGAAAACGATGGAAAGTGCAGCGTTCATCACAGATACATTTGAGCGCTTATATAAAAGAGTTTAGCAAGTGGGTTTTCAAAGTACCTTCGTCTTACAGAAATCAATTTCGCGTGAGCCCACCGCATTAAAACAATGCTCAGCTGAGCGGGGCGAGCCACGGTGTGGGGACGGGGGGGGGGGTCACCTTATCTTTGTCACGTGCCGTAGCTCACGTGACTTCTGCCGCGACAATGTCTGGATGTTTTCACCTGAGGACGACCGCTCGTTTTTCGATCGAAACGTGATTTATTTTTTTTATTTTTTCTACCTACGTGACTTTACCGAAAGAACCAATGAGTATGAAAGACGTCTTGTCTGCTGATCTTGTTCATATCTGTGTACATCGATATCTCACATTGCTTACACATACACACCACACACAATGAACTATATAGAAACTAGAACGACTTCCGGGGATGGGCAAAGATTGAGGAATCTCTTTCAATGGAGCGAGTTAAGTTTGTTCAACATCTCTCTGTCCGTCTGTGTCTCTGTTTCCCTCTGTGTCTCTCTCTGCCTGTGTCTCTCTTTCTATCTTTCTCTGTCTCTGTGTTCCTCTTGTTTGTGTCTGTCCACCTGTCTTGTCTGTGTCTGTCTATCAGCGTCTGTCCAACCGTAGTCAACGACTGTCAGTAGCAGCAGGCGCCCGTTCAGCTCCCACGGCTACACGCCACTCAAACTTGCTCCCAACACACAAAGACAAAGATCCCCCGTACAGCTTGGACAGAATGTTGGGGCAAGTGCAGTTAGTGAGCACCTAACACAAAGACAAAGATCCCCCATATAGCCTGGACAGAATGTAGGGGCAAGTGCTGTTAGCGAGCACCTATTAAGGGTGGGACGGCACATGAGGGGGTGGGTGGCCAGCACCACGCCGGGCCGCCTTTGTCTCCCTAGTGGCGATGTTTACACACCGCGCCAGGTACTCGTTTGAGGCCGAGTCGACGTAGGGGAGGCTCAGGACCGGTTCAGAAAATCGTCACTGGCGGTGTTGGCCACGAGCGGGAAAGGAACCCGGCTGGTCGAGAGCGCAGCGCTCTCACGTCACTGCCGCTCCCCTTCTGTCACCGCTCAGCATGACCTCATCGGCATCAAACGCGAGGGGGCGGTAGGCCTAGCTAGTGACGTCATGTCAGCCACACCCGACAACCGCTCTCTTGAGCGTTACGTCCCCTCCGTTCGGCCGCTGCCGATTTCTGTTCCGGTGCCAATCCTTATTTGGGCAAAGCTACGCCCGGTGACTGCACGCTCATTAACATAATGTGTCCGTTAAAGCCGTCCGCTCAGTGTGGGAGGAGAGTATCTTGTACCCCGGAAGTGACGTCACGTCACCTGGTGCCGCGTGACGTCACGAGGAAACCTGAAGCTGCCGCTTCGTGCGTGAACTGAAATCCGAGGTGAGAAATTCTCATCGCGGTTGTGGTGGTTGTTGTGGTGGTTGTTGTGGTGGTTGTTGTGGTTGTTGTTGTGGTGGTTGTTGTGGTGGTTGTTGTGGTGGTTGTTGTGGTGGTTTTTGTTGTGGTGGTTGTTGTGGTTGTTGTTGTGGTGGTTGTGGTGGTGATTGTGGTGGTGGTGGTGGTTGTGATGGTGGTGGTTGTGGTGGTTGTTGTGGTTGTTGTTGTGGTGGTTGTGGTTGTTGTGGTGGTTGTTGTGGTGGTGGTTGTTGTTTACCGAGGTAGAGCCTCGCCTCGTAGGGATGTCAATTGAGTAGCAGCGAGCATGGAAGCGATGTCCAGGTTGGAACTTTACAGCACGGGGCCTAGCCACACGGGGCCTTGCCTCCTGCCCTCGCCTGATCGCGTTTGCTTCAATTCTCTTGCTTAGTTGAGCAATCTTTGTAAGAATGTAATCGACCAGGCTATGCGTTAATTTTGTGTTGACCGACTCTCTGTGTTGCATTGCATTACATTTCCAAATTTTACTCAGTTTGTTTGATTAAGTGTGCTTTCTCTCTGTGTCCTGTTATTATTTACTGCAGTCACCAAAGCTCCAATCTCTCATTGGCACAAGGCCGTAATTGTAATATATTATAATAATTATAATATATATTGGGCGACACACACTGTTGTATATATGTTTTATGAAAATTGATGAAAATAATGAAAATTAATTGAAAGTTGAATTATGCATAAATTATCCGAAATTATGTTAATTAGTGTAATTATGCGCATAAATTATGCTGATTTGAGACATAATCGTATTAATTTATGCGAGTGGGCGTGGTTCGGATAATGCAGGTCGTTATGGATTATCAGGTCGAGCCTCGGTGACTAGGATTGTGTTATGAATTGGAATGACGCAATTAATCGTATGCAGTGACGCAGGCGTTGTGAGCGTGAATGAGAGAGAGTCGATTCGACTCTGCTCTTTAATTCCGTATTATCGATAAGGATACGATTACTCTCGATTGAACATTACGAATTATGTGTGTTATGGATTATGTGTGGTGATAGTGTGCTTATGATAGGTCCCCAGAATTCAGATCTCATACACAGAACAATATTATTCAGAATTTCAGGAAGAATCACACACAAACCTTCTGCTTTAATCAATTTTATTTCTAGCTAACTTTAATTTTTGGATAATATGAAAACTCAATCTCGGGATTTTGGAATTTCAACACAGCGTTAACATGATACCATCACGATTGCGTTGTTTCTCCTCGATAGCGGCACCTGTGGTTAATTCCCGACGCGTAGCGCAATCGATCGGTTGTTGAGAGAGAGATTAAAAACATGCAAACTATTCTATCAAACCTTAACTTTATAATATGCAAACTCGTATACTTGAATTGTTACACAACACGGCACTCGGTCTTTGATTCGTATCCAATCCTTAACACATTCTGATATGCGAAATTATAATGCTTGAAATCGTCAGCACAGTACCACGGCGATGTTCGTTCATTAATTCATCAACGATTATGCAATTAAAGCGTTCGACTGAAATAATTCTGATTGCCTCATCAACGTAACTCAATGGGTGGCGATGTTTTTCGTTATCAGCTAATAGTTGACGCAGTTATCATGAGTCTTGTATGTTTAATGGGAGGGTTGTTGATTTCTTGCGTTGGGCAAACGCCTAGGTTGATTTCCTTGTCAAAAAAAATGTTTGTTCGTTGTGTAGCGGTGGGGGAGTGAGGAGGGAGTGTGGGGGAGGGGCATACGAACGACTGCCAGTTTCTGTCCACCGCTGGCTGGATGAGTCAGCACGACGCTCGCCGTCGTCGCGCCGATGGGTGTTGAGTGCGGGGCCGCTGCCCTCTCAGCCCTGGTGACGCGAAGTTGCGCGCTGTAGCACGCTGGTGGCACGCTGTTGGCACGCGCTGGTGCTGGTGGCACGCTGGTGGCGCGCTGTTGGCACGCGCTGGTGCTGATGCTGGTGCTGATGGCACGCTGGTGGCGCGCGCTCCCTCTCCTTGAAGATGCGCGAACGCGCCCGTGCTGGTTCGCTGATAGCAGTTTCTCTCCACTGCTGGCTGAGCTGCTGCACGCTCTTGCTTGGCGTTGCTGGCCGCGCTCTTTCTCCTTGAAGATGCGCGAACGCGCCCGTGCTGATTCGCTGACAGCAGTTTCCTCCACTGCTGGATGAGCTGCGCCGGTGCGCGCTCTTTCCGCTGCTGTAGTATCTGACGCTGCGCTCGCGGGCGACAGGTCAAGTTTTTCTTCTGCTGAGTGAGCCGAGTCGCACGCGCTCTCTTTGTTGAGGTTGTTGGCGGCTCTCTGACAGCAGGTTTCCTCCACTGCTGTATGACTCAAGTCGCACGCGCTTGGTCACTGGTTTGCTGAAGTTGTTGGCGGCTGCTCGTGCTTTTCCGCTGCTGGTTGAGCCACGTTGCACGTGCTTTCCTCATGGAGATGCTCGAGCGCTCTCAGCGCTGATTCGCTGATACTTTGTTGGCGGCTGGCCAAGCTTTTTCTTCAGTTGAGTGAGTTGAGTCGCACGTGCTCTCTCTGTTGAAGTGCGCGAACGCGCCCGTGCTGGTTCGCTGACAGCAGGTTTCCTCCACTGCTGTATGGCTCACTTTTGTTGATACATCGCGACTCAGCGATCATCGCTACTCAGCGAGGCTCGGAGCCAGCCGCTCCATGCGACTGCTCGTCCTGTGGACGTCTTGACTCGCTGATCTGTCTTGACTCTTGACTTAACTTCACTGACTTTTGAAAATGCGGCTGACCGTTATATTCAAAGACAATTATCTCTGCGCAGTGGAAAAGGGGGGGGGGGGCGGGGTCTGTGTGTGTGAGTTCGTGTGGTTGTACAGATGGCTCCTGCGATAACGATCTGTTTGCCCTGGCGTGAAATTCCTCTCTCGCGCTCTTCGGGAGAGACAAAGGTGGTCGGGAGTACCTATCTCTTTATACTTTCGACTTTATATTTCTCAAATATCATTTGGTCCCATGTTCGCCAAGACTCGTGTTTGTAACTACGTCCTCCCGACACCCCTCTCGGGTTTCCGAGGTTCGCATTGATATGATGGAGTTATTAGAAAGAAAAATAATTTTCAACCTGAGTTTAAGAGGTCCGTTTCCAGATTGTTGGAATCCATATCCCTTGGTTCTGTAAGGTTCTATAATGGAATATCGTTTAAGGTTAACACGTTATTATTAATATTATATTGCAATTTTCTTTAAAACTTTGTTTGCCTGGTTGCCGTGTGTGGGGTGGGGTGTGTCTCCTCATCACACCCAGCTGGCTTTTCCAGATGGCCCCTTGTGATAAAGGTGGTCGGGGTTGCTTGGGATATTGTTTAAACTCTTTCGTAAGTTTGCCCGTTCACCTCATTCCTTCTCGATAACCTTTGATGTGACTCGGCATTTTGTCTCCAAGCTTTGTTTTAACAGTAAAAGTATTAAAGGTGAAAATCATTTGATAGCGAATTAATTATTGGATAATAATTCACTGATGTATCTGGTGGCCTGGTCTTGATTGGAGTGAGCGCGAGGACCGCTAACTTTAGCTTATTCTTGTTATTGCATTTTAAATTTGAACCGTTGTTTTAATGACAAAGGAAAAAATATATATATGGTTTAACCCGTGGGCGTCCTCGTTTCTGGCTTGCGGAGGGCTTCCCTCTGCGTGACCTCCCTTAGGGCACATCAAACTCTTGTTCATCTGGAGATCTTCGCAGATAGCTGCTAACATCCTCGCCTCGAGAGTTTTATTATTTCTTTATTTTTTAATGGTCTGTTTATGATCGACATCTGGTTTTCGTGTGCCTGGCTTACAGGTTTTATTGATTATTTTGTTTGTTTGTAAATATATATAACGCAAATATTATTGTTAATATCAATTTTGGAAAAGGCTCATATACAACAACACCCCCCTCCCAATAATAAAATATGCTCAAAATGTCCCCCCCGAAATATTGCTATGAAAATATTTTTTTTTAATAATAATTGCTATGTTAATAAAAACCACAATTTGCTAAATCTTGGCCACAAAATCTGGACATGTGTTCATAAAACAATGCATAGATTTCTGTTTATATGATTGCGTTGTACTTTATGAATCCCTAATCTCTGCCATTATATACTATGAAACAAGAAAAGGTAAAAAAGAAAAAACAGAGCAATGTAATACAATACAATATTAGACATTATTGTATCAAATAAAACAAATTCCATCCCATGTGTTAGTGAATTTTTTAAATATTTTATGCAGGAAATGGCAGGAAATTAGTTTTCAAATTACATTTTTTTCTGGGGGGGGGGGGACCCCAGACCCCCTGGAAAATTTGGTCCCCCCCCAATGTTGACTCCATGGCTACGGCTTTGCAATGACTTGCTAATTTCTCTACCCCCCCTCTCTCGCTATTTAAGGCCTCGACACAGAGGCGTTGCCTATGTGTGTATCTCTCTCTGTGTGTCTTTGTGTTATCTCTCTCTGTCTATGTGTCTCCGTGTCTGTGTTTTGTCTCTCAAATTGAGCAGTCTTTGGAAGAACGTAATCAACCAGGTGGGGTGTTGTTGACTGTTATGTTAGCCGACTTTGTGTTGTATTGCAGTACGTTTCTAAGTTTTCTAGGTTTGTTTTCTCTTTCATTTGTACCTGATGATGATTGCTTGTGTTGCAATCGAAACGTCGTATGCTATTTGCACACAGCGTTGGTGTACGGTGCTTTTTCTGGAATATTTTGCTGTTTTTTCCTGGATTTTCTATTTGCAGTCACATAGTCACTTCAAGATGTTTTCTTGTTCGTGTTTTTGTTTTTTGTTTGTTGCGGTTGCACCCGATTCAAGAGCCGAAGGGCTCACAGAGCTATACCAAATAAATGAAACTGAAAATATTATTTTATTTATTTAGTTTTTTTCCACGTGACTTTACCGAAAGAACCAAAGACTATCTTGCTTAAGTTTTAATTTCTCTTCACCTGGCTTGCTACTTTGTTACTTTGTTTTATTTTAAATATTCACAGTTTTTTTTTTTACCAGGCCACGCCCACGTTCAGCTGCTGTACTCCTCTTGTTTTCAAAAGCGACCTGCCCACAACAACAATAACAACAAGGTGGGGCTTGTCAACAGCATGGCGGTGTTCACTCTGGACGCGTTATGGTGTTCACTCAAGACGCTTGGCGGTGTTCACTCTGGATGCGTGGCGGTGTTCACTCTACTTGGTGGAGTGAGGAAGCATGAATTCTGAGCAGGTGAAAGTGGCCAGGCGTGGGTCTGGACACACCACCACCTGTGAACCATGCCAGTGTGTGACAGTGGTGGAGCCAGTGGGGGTGTGGTGGCACGTACTTCCCCAATGGTCCGATTGAAATCCCTAATTTCGATCGGATCATTGGGGTTTATTAGTAACTAGCTTCACTACCTGGCTTCGCCTGGGACTTGGATTCTTGTCTTGGATAAATTTCAAATTTCATAATCCCTTATCTGTGTTGCGGGTTGACGCCACACACTCCATGGTCAATTCCCCCACTCCCCCAAAATACAAAATTATATTTTAATACTTTGTGCATTGTGTCCAATCTGGAAGCTACCCACATTACAAATGTCAAGTTTGTAGCATGTTTGGAAGTATGCTGAACATTTCAAACAGACACAAATTCACAATTGTGTGCAGTTGCGTATTCAGTACACGACTTCCCTGATGGCAAACACCTTCAGCGAGCGCGATGCCTATCACACGCGTCGAATAAAAAGCATAGGACAAGTCCTTAGTAAAAACTCCTTACTTACTAACAACTCCTTACTAACAACTCCTTACTAACAACTCCTTACTCACTAACAACTCCTTACTAACAACTCCTTACTTACTAACAACTATCATTTTTAATTGCTGAAGGGGTTGCCCCTCCTACCTGAAAATCCTGGCTCCACCTCTGAGTGTGTGACAGGGTCAAGTTTGTATTTGCAGTAAACTCTATTAACTATATTGAGCATGGCGGTTATATGAAAACAGTTTATTTTAGTTTTCTATGGAACTCTTTGTAAGAATGGAGTCAGGAAGTTATCACAGCACACGTGCAGCTGAAGTCGGAACTGTCCATCCCAGCATTCAAGGACATCTGTGCCTGGCTTCACACCTCTAAGTTGCAATTGAACATTAATTTATGCATTTCTGCACAACACAAATAGTATTATTTTCAACACCCTTTGCTATGTCAGCTGAATTTCGCTTTCATTAATATTCCTTTTGAAGCCAGACAGCCGAAATTGTGTGTTCGGAGTTTTGGGTTAACATTCATTTTGAAGATACGAGGGCATCCAGGCACGTTTATGACATTTGCCCTCTTATTGTGTGCCATAACAGCCCTTGTGATGAATTTGGGACACTTTTTCACTATATCATGAATATATGAATAAGTATAGACATGTAAGTCACGTGTGACTGTGTGTATGCATTCCTCTCTGCATCAATACTGACGTGTAGATGGTGTGGACATACGTTTTTTTCTGTCTGCAGCTGTCGCTTCCTCTGTTGCTTCCTCTGCAGAATTTGTCTAATGGAGCAAAGGCACTCGGCGCAGCTCGGTACAAAAAGGCAACAATGCAACCTGTGTGCATACAGCACGGATCGTACTGGAAATTTGACCTTGCACCAGAGAACTCACACAGGAGAGAAACCCTTCAAGTGCAGTGCGTGTGGGAAGGCGTTTTCAGTTTCATCTACTCTTGTAACACACCAGAGAACACACACGGGAGAGAAACCCTTCAAGTGCAATGTGTGTGGGAAGGCATTTTCAGATTCATCAAATCTTCATGTACACCAGAGAACACACACGGGAGAGAAACCCTTCAAGTGCAGTGTGTGTGGGAAGGCGTTTACACTTTCATCTACTCTTGTAACACACCAGAGAACACACACGGGAGAGAAACCTTTCAAGTGTACTGTGTGTGGGAAGGCGTTTGCACAGTCACCTACTCTTGTAAGACACCAGAGAAGACACACGGGAGAGAAACCCTTCAAGTGCAGTGTGTGTGGGAAGGCGTTTTCAGATTCATCTGCTCTTGTAGCACACCAGAGAACACACACAGGAGAGAAACCCTTCAAGTGCAGTGTGTGTGGGAAGGCGTTTACACGTTCATCAAATCTTCATGTACACCAAAGAACACACACGGGAGAGAAACCCTTCAATTGCAGTCTGTGTGGGAAGGTGTTTTCACAGTCACCACATCTTCAAAAACACAAGAGAACTCACAAGCATCAGAAGATCCACAAGGAGTGGAGTCTGAAATCAGCTTGTGAAAGTCAAAGTGCTGCAATGAGCCCATCCCTCATGAATCAAGAACTGGAAAAAAATCCCAGCTTGGACACTTTTAAAGGTATCGAGGTGAAATATGAAGAGGTGAAGGTGAAATGTGAAGAAGTGATGGTGAAGAGCGCAGAAGTGAAGGTCAAATGTGAAGATGAAGATTCAACTCCAAAATCGGACCTTCACATCGATGGAGGCAAGGTGAAGCAGGAGGAGAATTCTGACTGCGAGGCAGAGCGAGGCAACTCCCAGCAGTTTGTGGAAGTGGAGGTGTGGGTGGACTTCCTAGACAATACAAAGTCAAATGGAGACCCGGTAGATGTGTAAGGCAGAGACGATGTCGCTCCAATAGATGCACCTTTGTCACAGGCCTTCAATGACAAGAATGTGAAGTTGAACACTCAATTCCTAGGTGCAACCTGCAGGGTAAGAGCGGCCAGTCTTTGTGGACCTGTGGGTTGCGTAGATCTCAAACCAGTAGCGAGAGCCAATAAGCTCCCAAGCATTCACTGTTCTAATAATTGCATTTATATGGTGCTTGCTTAATCGCCTCTGGCAATTCGGAGTTTATTTATCGTATCTTGTCTCAAACACTCGAAGAGCATCCCCAAGTAGCAGCTGCCCCTGTGTGGCACAAGGTGGTGGCCCTGCACCGGCCTGCATGTGGACAAGAGCCTGTCAGTAGGGGGCGATGGTTAATGTGGCATCTCAGTTGTGGAGTTTGTAGGTCATGTTTAGAATTTGGTAAATTTTGACCCAGACGCCAGCATGCAATGGCCTACTCGTTTTTAATGACAATAGTATGTTGTACATACACTGTTAAGCAGACGGTGTGTATTTTTTTTTAAATATCTTCTTGTTAATACGATGTAACCTGATACAGTATATTTCAGTGCAGTAATAAAATTTTGTTAAAATGACTCAATAATTTATAATTAATACTTGTCTGATTGTGTTCGTACATGTATCATTTTGTCTATAAGGGTCAAACATTGAATAAGTGATGTTAGGACAAAGTGTGTGTTTTGGAAGTAACCTGTACAGATAACTCAGGTGAGACTCATTGTTCTTGTGATACAGGTCAAAGGGTATTTTTGTGTTTTCAGGAAGCATCTTCCTCTGGAGCAACTCTTTGTCTTTGAAATAGGGAGCACACTCGGATCATTAATCAGTTACAAGGCATACCACTCAAAAGTTACACGTAGGGGAGATGCATTCTCTACAACACGAATTATAATTTTGTATTACGTGTTGACGTAGATTTTGTCTTACTAGGTCTAGAAATGCTCCTTGCTGATTAACGTCTGAATGTTCGAAACTATCGGTTGAAGCAGCCCGGCTGCTTTTGAGACGCTGTGCAACAATAAGAGTCCACAGGTGGCTTGCACTGAATCAATGATGCCCTCTCAGAAGGCTGTGCTAGATATAGTTTGTGGTAAACATTCCTTTGTTTCGTGGAGAGATCGATAAATGAAAGATGTCGTGTCTGCTGATCTGCTTCATAGCAAGGAGGTAATTTTAAGAGCACATTTGAAATGCATTTTTGGTACAGATTTGTATTCGGTTACAAGGCAGAGCACATCTAGTAGATACATTCCCCACAACAACACTCATTAGAATTTTTCATGACGTCTTATATGTTCGTGAACGAGGACTAGAAATGCTCCTTGCTGATTATTGTCTGGATGTTCACAACCAAGGGTTGAAGCAAGCCTGACCGCCTGCAGCGCCCCTCACAACCATTTACGGCCTTGGGCCAGGAAAGTCACGAAAAAATTTGCACACGAACGACACCTCCATGCAAGCTCCCGATGCTCCGTTTTGAAGTTTTAAAATGAAACAGCTTAGAATTGTATTGTTTTGAATTAGATAATTGTATTTCTTCATTAAAAGCTTATCTCATTTTACATGTGGAAGACTTATTTGAAAACGACATTTGGTGTGAATTTTCTCTCGTCGTTAAGTAGATGGTCTTGCCGGGGATTCGGTTCGATGCGGACTTTCACCTGGTTGGGATCGTGAGATCGAGATGAGGTGACACAGAGATGGCCGTGCGAGAAGACCGCCGTCTGCAGATCGATTCCAACGCGATCGAACGTCTGTCCCTGCGCCTCCACTGTTCATGCAGGGGGTGCGTAGATTTGCAGAGCCCCCTGCATGAAAACGATGGAAAGTACAGCGTTCGTCACAGATGAAGTTGTGCGCTTATATAAAAGAGAGTAGCCAGTGGGTTTTCAAAGTACCTTCGTCTTACAGAAATCAATTTCGCGTGAGCCCACCGCAGTAAAACGATGCTCAGCTGAGCGGGGTGAGCCACGGCGGGGGGGGGGGGGGGTCACCTTATCTTTGTCACGTGCCGTAGCTCACGTGACTTCTGCCGCGACAATGTCTGGATGTTTTCACTTGAGGACGACCGCTCGTGTTGCGATCGAAACGTCGCAATTTATTTTTTATTATTTTATTTTTTCTACCTGCGTGACTTTACCCAAAGAACCAAAGAGTATGAAAGACGTCTTGTTTGCTGATCTTGTTCATAGCTGTGTACATTGCTTACACGTACACACCACACACAATGAAATAATTAGAAACTAGAACGACTTCTGGGGATGGGCAAAGATTGAGGAATCTTTCAATGGAGCGAGTTAAGTTTGTTCAACATATAGGAATAGGTTTTACCCTTTTAACTGGCACAAAAACTGACACCTTTATTCAAGGCATCATGTTTGCAATGACCACAACACAAGCAGTCAAAATGCAAACAAAAAAGACAACTCTGATAATGACATGCACTGTCCTTGAATTTGATTGGTCCACACCCGAGACAGCTTTTCTTAGAGCCTAGTCTCCATTGGTGTTGGACCAGAAGACGCCAAAAGGCGTACAACAAAAAAAACAGCGCACTATCAGAGTATTGAGGGCTCGGGGTGAGTATTGAGGGCTCGGGGTGAGCATTTACATTATGAGACCTCCTTTGCCAGAAACAAGATATAGGAATAGGTTTTACCCTTTTAACTGGCACATCTCTCTGTCCGTCTGTGTCTCTGTTCCCCTCTGTGTCTCTCTCTGCCTGTGTCTCTCTGTCTCTGTCTATCTTTCTCTGTGTTCTTCTTGTCTGTGTCTGTCCGCCTGTCTTGTCTGTCTGTCTATCAGCGTCTGTCCAACCGTAGTCACCGACTGTCAGTAGCAGCAGGCGCCCGTTCAGCTCCCACGGCTACACGCCACTCAAACTTGCTCCCAACACATAAATACAAAGATCCCCCGTGTAGCCTGCACAGACTGTTGGGGCAAATGCTGTAAGCGAGCACCTATTAAGGGTGAGACGGCACACGAGGGGGTGGGTGACCAGCACCACGCCGGGCCGCCTTTGTCTCCCTAGTAGCGATGTTTACTACACACCGCACCGGGTACTCATTTGAGGCTGAGTCGACGTAGGGGAGGCTCAGGACCGGTTCAGAAAATCGTCACTGGCGGTGTTGGCCACGAGCGGGAATGGAACTCGGCTGGTCGGGAGCGAGGCGCTCACACGTCACTGCCGCTCCCCTTCTGTCACCGCTCAGCATGACCTCATCGGCGTCAAACGCGAGGGGGCGGTTGGCCTCGCTAGTGACGTCATGTCAGCCACACCCGACAACCGCTCTCTTGAGCGTTACGTCACCTCCGTTCGGCCGCTGCCGATTTCTGTTCCGGTGCCAATCCTTATTTGGGCAAAGCTACGCCCGGTGACTGCACGCTCATTAACATAATGTGTCCGTTAAAGCCGTCCGATTAGTGTGGGAGGAGAGTGTTTTGTACCCCGGAAGTGACGTCACGTCACCTGCTGCCGCGTGACGTCACGAGGAAACATGAAGCTGCCGCTTCACGCGTGAACTGAAATCCGAGGTGAGAAATTCTCATCGCGGTTGTGGTGGTTGTTGTGGTTGTTGTTGTTGTGGTGGTTGTTGTGGTGTTTGTGGTTGTTGTTGTGGTTGTTGTGGTGGTGGTGGTTGTTGTGGTGGTTGTTGTGGTGTTTGTGGTTGTTGTGGTGGTTGTGCTGGTTGTGGTGGTTGTTGTGGTGGTTGTTGTGGTTGTTGTGGTGATTGTGGTGGTGGTTGTGGTGGTGGTTGTGGTGGTGGTTGTGGTGGTTGTGGTTGTTGTGTTGGTGGTTGTGGTGGTTGTTGTGGTGGTTGTTGTGGTTGTGGTGGTTGTTGTTGTGATGGTTGTGGTGGTGGTGGTGGTTGTTGTTTACCGAGGTAGAGCCTCGCTCTATCTCGTAGGGATGCCAATTGAGTAGCAGCGA